CGGTGGTTACAACCCATAAACAGCCAATCAGAAAAAATGAACCTCAATCGGTAGAAAGAAAGCTTGAATAAACAATTTAAAGGGTGTAAATTTAAACAAATCAAAGCATAACAACGCTTGACAACACATAAACATCCAATTGATGAAAAGAAAGCTTAAAGAAGACTTGATTTTTATCAAGATTTTAAACAGCCAATCGGGTTCGCACCTGAGGAAGACGACGGAGGAAAGGGTGGGTGGCCTCTGCAGAGGAAGGAGGAAGAAGTTGTGGAGGCGAAGGCTACGTTCTTCTTGCGTTGATCCTCTTTCATTTGCTTATGTTATGTTCTTGCGACATTAAGATTACCGATTTTGTTCTCAATCCTTCACATTTTACTTGCGGACCAAATCAAGAGGTATTTTCGGACCGAATCCCAAGTTTGGACCGAGTCCAAGGTTTTAGAAAGGAAAACAAGCATGCTCATTGAAGATTAAGGACCCAACTAACTTTGGGCCGTGTTAAAAAGGCAAACCTTTAACTCCTTTATATGGACTAAAAATATGGCGAAGACTCCTTGGAATTCACGGTCTATTTATGTCATTCATATTTTCTATAATTTTAGCCTTCAAATTTGTAGCTTTTGCGGCGAAGACTCCTTGGAATTCACGGTCTATTTATGTCATTCATACTTCTTGTTGGCAGTTTTATAATACAATCTTTCGAAGTTAAAAAAAAAATCTGTAGATTAAAAAAAATACACGTATTGCGTAATCATTAGATTTAGATTCATAAAATAACCCATCTCTTTCTCATATACAATCTTTCGAAGCCCAATGTGAAAGTTGAAATATGTAATGTTTAATTTTTTTTTAGAAGCCCAATGTCATCCATTTACATCTCCACTCGAGTAGACCTGCACAAAAAGACCAGTCTCGGACCGGACCCAAAAAAAAACCGAGACCGGTCCTAAAAAAGACCGGACCGAAAAAATAACGGCTTGAGACCGTCCTGGACCGGTCCGAAAAAGACCAAACCGTTCGGAGACTGGTCGTAAAAAAGACCGGACCGGTTTGAGACCGGTCTGGAAAAATAGACTTGTAACCAAACTTTATAAATATATAATTTTTGTATTAATTATACAACTTTAATTACAAACTATCTAATTTATTTCATTTTTTTCTTTTATAAAATTTAAATTATCATTTTTAATAAATCTTAATTTATTATTTTGGTGATAATCTCATATTTATTAATGAAAAAAACTCGAAACCAAAACAAAAGAAATCGAAAAATACCGAAACCGAACAAAAAAACCCGTAAACCGAACCGAAAAAGGCGTACAGAAATACCGAGAGACGAGACCGAAAAAGACCGATCCAAAAAAAGACCGGTCCGAAAAAAGACCGGTTCAAAAAAATACCGGATCGGAAAAAGACCGAACGAGACCGGTCTGAAAAAAGACCGGACCGTTCTGAGACCGACCTCAAAAAGACCGGACCGTTTCGAGACCGACCCAAGACCGGTCTGGGACCGCAAATGTGCAGGTCTACACTCGAGTTCTCAACCTCGTATTACGACAAGTGGGTTAGGCCCACACAAGAAACCAAGGTCCAAGAAGATGACGTCTTTCAAGGAATACAATTTACAAACAAGTTATTATTCTCATCTGCATTATGTAAAAAAAAAAAAAAAGGATAATAGAAATCGTATCTTCTAAATCTCCAATATAAAAGGTAACTTGACTGATTTTATTTAGAAATTGAACCATGATGCGTTAATAGTTAATAATTTGAAATTTGATTTTTTATTTTATTTTCTTTACCGAGATATTGCGTAATTTAGAACAGAATCACGTATTAGAATTCTAATCAATTACTCTCAAGTAAAGTGGCTTGTCTAAGAAAGCATCCATAATTATGTGGCCTAAATGAAAAAATATGTTGAGGCTGAGGTTTTGTTGTTTTAGAATTCACATTATAAACGCTAAGTTTGATTCTCATGTTTTGGGTCTTATATTTGGGGCTGTGTCATAAAATTGTGTATATTTTCACTTTTTTTTTCTTTTCAAAAGTAGTGTCTTTTTAAACTTTTGCCTAGAAAGTCATAATATCACTTTTAGAAGGCGTTTGGTCCGTGAGATTCCATGAAATTTTGATGAAATTGGAATTCAATGACACTTAATTCTTGTGTTTGGTTTGTAAGACTCAGCGGAGTAGCTCAATGTGTATGTCGGCATTTGGTTGGCATGCTCGGTGTACACCACCCCTTATGACGCATGTCGGGTGTGGGAGGTTTCTATGACATTCAATTGCTGATGAGAGGGAGTAAGGCTTGAGGGTCCAACGGGTAGTTAACGGTTATTTTGTGATTTTTTTCCAATTTTATACAACTATTAATACTACCTAAATCATCATATTTTACACCACAAAAAATCATTCATCTCTCAAAAATGGCATCATCATCCTCATCCTCTTCTTCTTCCTCTTAGGCGAATTACATTTCTTGTTACAAAACGCAGTCACTGTTGCTAATTTGTACAACAATAATTAAACGAGGAAGCGAAACATGTCACACACACACACACACACACACACACACACACACACACATATATATATATATATATATATATATATATATATACCAACGTCTGATGCATGATTATTTTGATGAGTGGTGAATATCTGGGTTCACGAGACGATTGAGATAAAGTGACTTTCCACGGATCGTCGATTTGTCCTTCGTTCAGCCTTAACTTCGGTGATACCTGAAACAATCTCGGGTGGGGACTCGAGATGACACTCCGATGGTAAAGTCACTTTTCAACGAGAGAAATCGATCAAAGTTGAAAGTAGGGTATTAGAGTTTTTCTGCCTTTTTTCCGGACTGCAAACATTGGCTATTTATAACATATAATTACTTGTCATCCGAATTAAGGAAGGGAATATGTTCATCAATTTGAATCGTGATCATCTTTTAGCTCAAGATATTCTGATATGCTCAACCAACACGTTAGTAACAATATAATATAATATTGTCTATATATATATATATATATATATATATATATATATATATATATTTATATATTCAAATTGTATGCGTGTGTATGAGTATGACACAATTAATTATAAAAGTAATGCATTTTGGACCTAGGCCATGCACGTTGAGTCATGCTCATTGGACCATGTATTTCACTTCTATCCGTCACTTTTGTCCGTCATTTATGTCTGCCACTTTCCGTCATTTCTGTCTGTCACTTCTATTCGTCACTTCTGTCTGTCACTTTTCTCCGTCATTTATGTTCATCATTTATGTTTGTCACTTCTGTCCGTCACTTCTGTCCGTAAGACTCCACCCTATGCTTGTCGTCACCCCCCCCCCCCCCCCCGTATGAAGTGATATGGGTAGTACAAATTTCAGTTCATACTTAATAATATGCCCGCATTGTCACTCCAACATCCATATGTATTTGAGAAAAACAAACCATGTACGTTTAATTTCAACAAGAAGCCAGTATACATATAACCTAGTGAAGTGTGTTATATAAAGCCAAGAGGTATATGTGATAAAAGAATCTTGACATGCATAGGTCAATGTCAATTGGAAGAAGTGACATGCATAGGTCGATGTCAATTGGGAGAAGGAATATTCGCATGCATGTGTCAATATCAATAATATAGACAATATTGTCATTGGAAAGAGTGGCATGCATAGGTCGATGCGTCAAGTGGGAGAAGGAATATTTGCATGCAACTGTAGATAATCACATACCACACATATATAACATCTATAAAAAGAGCAAAGAGCCTGAATTAAAATCAAATACCAAACTTACCAAATATCTAGCAAAACATGAGTAATGAGAAGATGGTTCGTGAACTGGGTATAAAAGACATATTCTCAACTCTTTCCCAAGCAGGTTTGGAAAGGGTGGCTAGCCAATATGGATTGTGTCCGTCGGATAGAGTTCTTCTACCTAGTCCTACTCGGCATATCAAGGATCCACCTCTAGATAAAGTGGGTATTTACGTCAAAACGATGGAGGCAGGCCTTCGTTTCCCAATCTCCAAGTTTATTGAAGATTTATTATCTCACTATTTTATACACATAAGCCAACTAAAGCCAAATGTGATGTTCAAAATCGTGGCATTTGAACTCCTATGTAAGGCAAAAAATGGTTGAGCCTTCTGTTCCCTTATTCCGTATTTTCTACAGGTTATCTTCTAGTGAAGATTGGTATATTTTCTACAACCACGATAAAGAGAGACAAATTGCAGCAAATCCAAAAATACTATCTAGAAAATGGAAACAATAGTTCTTTTGGGTGAGCCAAAACCTCGTACCCCAATGGATGGTCTTTGGTGACACATCAAGGATGGTCAATGACCCGACCATAAAAATTATCAACCCTCAACTTCGTTAGGACTTAAGCAAAATAGAAGGGTATTGTGTACCAGGAGATGAGATCGACAAACTCATTCTTGCTGCTGGTGGAAAAGAGTTGTGTTTTGGAAAAAAAAAAGTATATTTGAATATGTTAAAGCATCTTCTGCATGATTACCCAAAGGAATGCAAACTAGAGGCATATGTTGTATCCCTATATTTCTACCAGGGTAATGAGGGGGAAGAGCCTGTAATGAAGACAACAAGAGCAATATTGGATGTTAATGAAGACGATGTCGATGACCATAGTGACAATGATGATGCATGTCAATCTGTTAGCCCTGTAAGACAGACCACTTTTATGGCAGGCTTTGTCCAGTTTGCTAATACACTATCCAGAAAGAAGAGAAAAGACTATGCTTAATTGGTTTCTACTACCAACATCACAGACGTGGAGCACTATCAATGTTCTGGTGGTAAAAGCAAAGTTGATTTTATGAATGTCATGCAAGAAGTAGCCATGGAGGTTCCCCTCATTCAAAGAGGTACCACCTTTGGTACAACAAGCTCACCTGTTATTTTGGGTGAAGATTCGGGCTCTAATTTTGGGTCGTAGACACCTCAAACAGGCTGCATGGCTGATCCTACTGGAATTTTTCATCCATCTTGGAATATCACTTGTGAAATCGATGTGTTCGACTCGACATATAGCTCTGACTTCATATCCAATGTATTTCCACAAGTAACTTTATCCCAAATGGACAAGACGAGCACCGAAGAACTCACCAAGAGACGTCAATCCGAAATTGTGCAGTCCATGGCCTATAATGTGGGGTTTGATAGACGGTACAAAACTGAACTTGAAGAGGCTCGAGGTCTAGCAGTCGTGGCCTCCACTGAATCATCCGAGTATAAGACCAAATATGAGCTTACCAAGAAAAACCAACAAGAGGAACATGATCGTTTGGTTTGTCAGGTTTCCAACCTAGAACTCGAAGTATCCAACCAGCATGCTAACGATAGTGAGTTAAATGGTCGACTCACCCAATCAAAGAATGATATGGATTGGATGCTACAAGAAGGTATTTTCAAATCTTTTGATAAAGCCATGTGTTCCGAGACATTTGTGAGTAACTCCAAAATACTTTACAAAGCATATAATGATTATGGCATAGATCAAGGATGCAAATTAAAGAAAGAAAAGTATGGATTTCAGATCCAGGAACATGAGATGTCGAGTGAGCGTCCCGAAGAATTGCAACATGCTCTAGCAGCCTTTTGCAACGAAGATTATGTCGCATCATATGGACTGGACCGATCGAGTTTTAAGGCATTTAAGGCCTCTTTGGTTGAAGAAGAAGAATGATCTATGCTTCTTATAAGATGTCTTGTTATGTACCCTTGTAATGAATGTTTGTACTTTTTTCATTTGTAATGAATGTACATTTTTCATTTTTATTGAATGTCTTTGGGTATTTTTTAAGTTGGAAAAATGATGATTGTATACTCTTCAGCGCATGGGGGGAGAGTATAGGACATGTTTTCCTCCCGTAAAGGGTGAATTGTGTAATGTATAATGTTCAAACTCTCTCATGTCGTCGAGAGTGACTTCTAGGTTATTTGGATAACCCAGGGAAGTTTGTCTTTGCAAGGTGTGAAGGTCATCCAGAATATGTCTCATGTGAGCAATCATATGCAAGATAATAAGAGAAATTGCTAAAATTGACCACATCCAAAAGTTCACATTTGAAATTCCTCAAAGCACTCAAATGTTACGATTCAAACTTGTGAAGTACCAAATGTAAATGTAGGACATAAGTACGAGAGTTCAAATGCAGACGTGTAAGAAACAAAAAATAATGTAAATACCGAAACTTGTGAATGAAGGAGAATACTCTTCCTTCTACAAGTTATATTTCCTTAGGTTTATGATGTTCCACGTGTGAGGAAATGGGGTGCCTTAGAGTGTTTCGATCACATAATACTATTTTAGTGAGCATCTATCACTTTGTAAGGGCCTTCTCAATTCTGGCTTGGCTTCCCTTTATTTGCATCTATACTCGCTTCGTTTCTTCTAAGCACTAAGCCCCTACCTTGCATGCTCTTTCCTTAACACGACTGTTGTAGTACTTCTCTGTCTGGGACTAATAAGTTGCTTATATCAGAGTTGCCACCTCCCGCCTTTCTTAAAGAAGATCTAGGTTTGCCCGCAAGTCGTTCGGTATGACCATAGAACACTAGGGAGGTCGTTAACCCACCGTCCCGTAGCGTTGGATAGACTTGCTTTTAGCCCTTTGACAATGGTTCTGTTAGTAACTTCAGTTTGACCATTAGCCTTTGGGTGTGCTACTGAGGTGAACTGTTGTTCTATTTTCATATCGATGCACCATTGCTAGAAAGGATTTTCTACAAACTGCTTACCATTATCGCTTAATATCGTATTTCGCACGCCGAACCTGCTAATTATATTTTACTAGAAGAACTTGATAACATTTTTCCCATCTATTACTGCTAATGGCTTCACTTCTACTATAACAAATTTCACCTTTCCAAGCGCTTCTGGAAAGGATCCAACCAATTCCACTCCCCATTGATGAAATGACCAAGGTCTAGAGATGTTGACCATTGTTGTTGCGTGAAGGTGGGGTATTGGAGCGTGTTGCTGACATTCCAAACATTTTCTAACTAGAGCCTCAACATCTTTGTATATTTTCGGGAAAAAATACCCCAAGCACATTATCTTCTTAGCAAGTGTCCTCGCCCCCGAGTGAGATCCACATATCCCCTCACGATTTTCTCTTAGGACATAGTTGGCTTCGTCAAGTTCAACAAATCATAACCATGACATTAAATATCCCTTCTTGTAAAGCACTCCTTGCCTCATGACAAAGCTTGGGGATTTGGTTCTGATCTTCCTGGCTTCTCCATCACCGTTGGGTAGGATTTCGTGGACTATGTAATTTTGGATATGAGTCATCCAACAGTCTTTCTGAGTGGTGGAGCCAATGCCGTTGACTTCTTTTTCTTATGTTATACGTTCTCGAAGTATTTCTACGAGCACTTCCTTTGTGAGATGGGGGAAAGTTGTAGCTGCCATTTTACTCAGCGCATCTGCTTGCTTGTTTTTTGATCGGGGAACTTGCTCAATCATAAATGTTTTAAACCTTCTAATAATTTTGTTTACCTTATTCAAATACTTTTGTAGATGTGGCTCGCATACTTCATATGATCCGTTTACCTGGTTTGCCACCAACATGGAATCACCAAATGCCTTTAAGTGTTCTACTCCAAGGTGTTGTGCCAACTTCAGCCCTGCAATAAGGGCTTCGTACTCAACCTCATTGTTGGAAGCTTCGAAGTCAAAACGTAATGCGTACGTGATTGTTTCTACACTAGGGCTAGTGAGTACAAGACTTGGCCTTGCTCCATCATTGTTCGAGGCTCCATCAGTATAAGATGTGCATGAAAATAATGTCTAAGTTATCTTGCCGCATGAACAAGATCAAATGTCATCTTCTCCATTGGGGAGGTATTTTATCTCTGGGCCTTGCAATGCTCGGCTGACGAAGTATATAGGGACCTACTTTTTGTTTCTTTCGGTGACCAACACTGCACTAACGGCTTCTGACGCGGTAGAAAGGTAGATCATTAGAGTTTCCCCAGGAATTAGACAACCCAACGTTGGGAGCTGTTTGAGACTCTCTTTTAACTTGGTGAAGGCTTCATCGGCTTCTTGTGTCCAATGGAAATCTTTCTTATCTATGCATCCCTTGAGGGTCTTGAAGAAAGGTAATGACTTCTCTGCCGACTTAGCAAGGAACCGGCTAGCGCTGCCAGTTTTCAATTGAGACCTTGTATCTCTTTCAAAGTTCTCGGGGGTCGCATGGTGGCTAGGGCCTCCACTTTGTCTGGATTTGCTTGGATTCCCTTGTTAGAGACTATGTACCTTAAAAACTTTCCCTCTTCCACACCAAACGTGCTTTTATATGGGTTTAGCTTCATCTTTACTTCCCTTAGTTTACAAAATGTTTCATTGATGTTGCTAATAAAGGTTTCCTCCCCTTGCTTTTCAAAACCATGTCATCTACATAAACCTCCACATTGCATCCTATGTGATATTTGAAAACATTATCCACCATGCTATAGTAAGTGGCTCCTGCATTCTTTAGACCGAATTGCATTTTGGTGTAACAAAAGGTGCCTCGATCTATATAGAAAGATGTTTTATCCTCATCATATTTTGCCATGTGAATTTGATGATACCCCTTGTACGAATCTAGGAAACTCTTCCATCGGAATCCTTCTAGAGATTCCATTTTTTGGTCGATTTTAGGGAAGGGGTAGCAATCCTTAGGACAAGACTTATTGAGACTTGTATATTCCACACACATACACTATGATCCGTCTCCTTTCTTAACCAATATCGGGTTGGATATTCACACAGGGAATAGGGATTCTCTTAAGATCTTCGCCTTTACCAATTTATAATTTATCGATCTCTTCATTCACTGCCTTGCTACTTTCACATGCCAACGTGTGTTTCTTTTTCCTGATGGGACGAGCCTCTGGGATAAGGCTAAGATTGTGTTCAACCAAGTTTTGGGATATTCCTACCATATCAGAATGTGTCTAAGCAAAAATATCCATGTTGTCTCGAAGGAGTTCTCGGAGTTCCTTCTTAAGTGATGGGGTAAGTGAAACTCCTATCTTTATCGGTTGATCCAGGTACTTCTTATATATGAATTCATCGTTCTCATGATCTCGTTGTCGTTTATGTCCGAGGTCAAACTGTTTAGAGTCCATTATTTGGTTGCAACGTGGTATGATAAATTGAACGTTGACCATGATCCCAACCGTGTTAAGGGTGGAAATTTTGAGTAACCCATGCAACGTAGAAGGAACGGCTTTGAGTTTCCTTAAACCTGCTCGACTGAGGATGATGTTGTATGTGGAAGGTGCCCGAACCACAACAAATTCAGCATCAATTGTTTTCTTTACGCTTCCCTTATAGTCATCCACTGTGAGGGGGAGAGTAATGGTGCCAAGAGGCCAAAATGAGTGTCCGTCGAAGCTAATGAGAAGAGATGAAGGATCTTTGAGTTTTGCTTTTGTACTTACTGGGAAATGTTGGAAACAATGTTCGAATATCACCTCCGATGATCTGTCTCCATCGACATATATCATGTGGACCCAAAATCTATCTACAACTCCTTGGATGATGAGGGGATCGTCTCCCCTATGGTCTTTAGGGATAGGTCATTTTCGGTAAATGTAATGTCACTCCTGTTGGGACGACTAGGTTCATCTCTTCCGTTAAAATCTCTTGACTTGATCATTAAAATCTCCATCTCATTATGCTTGTTAGTTTCTTCTTTGTCTTTTGGTTGTTAATCTTTATAACTTTTATTTCTCATATCCCTGATGTAACTGTTCAATTGTCGGAACTTCAGGCGGCGTTCAATTTCTTTCTTCAAGACGTTGCACTCCATTGTATCATGACCACGACTCGAGTGATACTCACAATATTTGTTATTGTCTTTTGGAGGATATTTCTCTGGTACCTTATCTTCTAATGTGTCTTTCCCATCGGTGATCGCTAACAATTCTTTCTTTGATTCCCCATGTTTATCTCTATTGAAGGGTTAGAATTTGTGATTGGGTGCGCGGCTCCAGTAGAGGTGATTCCCCTTGCTACCACTTTGTGACCTCTCCATTACATTGGGTCTAGTATTCTTGGCCCCATTTTCTATCCTGGATTTTTCGACCACCGTTTCTTCTTGTCTTAGATATCTACTTACTCTTTCCATCAACTCTTTCCGTGTACTTGATGCTTTTCCTACCAGTTTTCGAAATAGAAGACCCTCTTTAAGACTATAAGTAAACGCCGCCACGATCATGTTGTCGGCCCTGCCAGGGCCCTGCAAAGTAGTTTGTTAAATCTTTTAAAATATGCCTCCGTTGTTTCATCTTGTAACACCCAAAAATTCAAGCCAATTTAAACTTTTAAAAACATTTTAATCCGTTACGTCATTACATGATTTTTTTTCAAAATACAGTTATCAGAGTATCCCAGTATCAAATCATAAAAGTCATAACAGCGAGAGGAACGGTACGATCATGCCTTCGCCTTCCCGCGATCGCCAGAGGTACCTGAAACAACAACTGAAACTGTAAGCCTGAAAGCTTAGTGAGCTATCCCCCAAAATACCAACCACATAACCATGTCATATAAACATATAACCAAACAGCAAGCATAATGAGCCTTCAGCCTGACTGGACCGCCTCGCAGGCCTTCAGTCTATCTGGACCGCTCTCCGAGCCTTCGGTACAACTGGACCGCCTCGCAGGGCCTTCGGCCTATCCGGA